ATGTTGGTATGCCTGGCGGCGGCTGAAGGGCGGTCCGGGAGATGGAAGATCGTCCCAGGTTGGTAATGCTGTGTGTTGATGAATGGGAAAAAGAGGCTCGGATGATGGGACGCATCTGAATCTTGTTGGTCATTATCCGGTTATTCAAGTATTTTATTTAGTTTGTCCTTTGTCTTGCGTTCGTATGTTATTAATCTTGCATACGTATTTTGTTATCAATTTTTTTTCCTGAAAATGGAGTAATATAATTATGACCATTTTAAACATCATTATGTTATTATTATCATTATCATCATTAACATTCGTCAGGCTCACCATAACTGATCATTCCCCCGTTCTCTGCCGCGCCAGGAACCAAGTGGTGCGGCCCCGGGACGAGAGCGAAACACGACGACGACCTCGGAAGATTCGCCGAAACCGACCGCTGTTGCCGAGAGCACGACAAATGCCCCGAAAAACTGCAAAAGGGCACGACCAGCCACGGCCTGACGAACAATGGAAGGTTCACTCTCTCCCACTGTGACTGCGACGAGAGGTTTCTGAGGTGCTTGAAGAAGGCGAACAGTATGTCGGCCTCGATTGTGGGTCGAAATTTCTTCAGCGTTTGGAATCCAATGTGTTTTAAGGAGGACTACCCGACGGTCTGCATCAAGTACAGGTGGGGATTTTTTTTTACGTTATTGTTGCTGTTGGTGTAGTCTCTCTCTCTCTCTCTCTCTCTCTCTCTCTCTCTCTCTCTCTCTCTCTCTCTCTCTCTCTCTCTCTCTCTCTCTCTCTCATTTACGTTTTCTCCATCAGCTTCACCGGTCGTCGCTGCGTCGCCACCAGGAAGGACACCTCGAAGCCGAAGGAGTGGCAGTTCTTCAGCAACCCCGTCTGGTAGAAATTTGGCCGTGACGTCACCAAGAAACATCAACGTTTAGAGGACTAGAAACAGGAACGTTTAGAGGACTTGCGATTTTTCCGTCGGTCAGTCTGTTGGTCTCCCTTCCTCATTACTCTAGAGCTTTTCATTTGTCGCTTTTTCTTTCTTTCTTTCCTTTCTTCTCTCTCTCTCTCTCTCTCTCTCTCTCTCTCTCTCTCTCTCTCTCTCTCTCTCTCTCTCTCTCTCTCTCTCTCTCTCTTTCTCTTCTCCTCTCTTCTCTCTCTTCTTCTCTCTCTCTCTTTTCTCTTCTCACCACTCACTCTCAACCCTCACTCTCTCACTCTCACTCTCTCTCTCTCTCACTCTCACTCTCTCCTCTCTCTCTCTTCTCTCTCTCCTCTCTCTCTCTTCTCTCTCTCTCTCTCTCTCTCTCTTCATAAATGAGTGGCTTTCACATCACTTTGTTTACACTGCGTAATTTATGAGAAATGTTCATAGATATAGACGCACGTCAAACCAAGTGTGGCTGCATGATCAATAAATGCAATAACATAAAAACAACTGGTTTTATTAGCCATAACAAACACACGCACGCCAAAACACACGCACACGCACCACACACACACACACACACACACACACACACACACACACACACACACACACACACATTCATTACCTCAGTCACTCACACACTCACTCACTCAATCACACATTTTCAGTTACACACACACACTCATAAACAATCTTATGCACACACTGGCATCACAACACGCACACAAATCCATGACCGGAAGCATATTCATAAAACAGCATCACCCTGAAATGTACGTAAAATGTAACGACTTCGGAATTTATAACAATTCAAAACAGAGAAATATAAGGAGAACGGAAGAAATTGGGTGGATAAAAGAACTCATAGAGATAGGAAAAGGTAAAGATAAGAAAGAAATAGAGAAAGGCTGGGAGAGAAGGGGGACGAACAAAAAACAAAGGAGAGAATGAGAGAACGACAGATAGAGACGAAGGAAAAAAAGGGGAAAAAACGGAGAGACAGAATGAGAGAACGACAGATAGAGACGAAGGGAAAAAAAAGAAAGAAAAACGGAGAGAGAGAGAGAGGACGAAAGAGAGCAGGACCAAGAAAGAAAACGAGAGAGGGAGAGAAAACAAAAACAAAAATTACGTCAACCTCCGAAAGCTAGCAACGACTCCGCAGCTCGTCGGAAAGGAAGTCTCGAGCGGAAAGTCCCCACAGTAGAGGTCGGAGCTCCACCGAGGCAGACGTGTTCGCCAATTCTCCCAAATATTTTTCTTAAAAAAACTAAAGAAATCCATAAGAAGCAAAGAAGAAGCGAGGCATCATGAAGGCTAAAGTCCTGCTGTTGCTTGCCGTGTTCCTGCTTGCCACGGGCTTCGGAAACTGCGAGGCCAAGGAGGAGGAGAAGCCAGCCGACCCCCTCGATGCTGAAATAACAGACACCGCGGAGAACGAAGCCAAGCCGACCCTCGAGCTCATCGACTTTGTCCCCTTCTCTCCGAAGAAAAACAAGGAACGTTGGTTCAACATAGTCATCACTATCGGAAATAATCGTCCAGGAGATAGCACCTTTTTCTTCCCCGAAAACCCGGAGT